CACAGGAGAACCTATCCATGGGCGTGGGTCCTGTGCATCTCCCAGTGGGAGCTGGGCCCACGCCACACAGAACAGTGTACTACACTCTTTTACTTGACCTATGGGCAGCCTTTACACACTTGATCATTTCCTTCTTAGAACTTTTTTCTTCTTGACTTTCTGAGGCTCTTCCTGGATGCTCCTGCTTGGCCTCCTATTTTTCTTTTGCTTACCCTCACTGTATTCCAGCTGTTACTGTGTCCGTACTGTGACTTTGGCCTTGCTCATTCCCTTCCCTGTCTTCACTTCTGCCTTAAGGTCAATGACCACTGAAATTATGTCTCCATTCCAGCCATCCTTGTGAGCTCCAAAGCCACAGAGCCAGCTGCCTTCATTTGAATATCCCACAGATCCTGACATTTAATAGATATAAAACTTGATTCACCACCCGCCTCCTCAAATCTGCCTCTCTGCTGATAGGCTCATCTCAGTGAACATAGAATTGGGTGGCCAATCAAACGAACTTGACTCCTAACCTGTTCCTTCACCCCCACTATCTCTCACATACTCAGAGGCACTCTACTTCTTCGAGAGCTCTTGAGTCCATCCCTTCTCTCCCTCTAAGCTGGGGCTGACATCACCTCTCACCTGGATTGCTGCAGCTGTCTTCAGAATAGTCTCTTGGCTTCCAGTCTTTCCCGCCTGCAACTCACCCCCAGCACAGCTCTTTGTGATCTGGCTCCTGCCTACCTTTTCAGACTTATCTCCTGCTACTTCCTCTCTCAGCTTAAAGTTTTATATACTCTTGTCATTTTGAATGGCCTGTCTTTCTCTGAAAGGGTCATGCTTTTGTGCTTCACGTTGTTCCCTTCACCTTACAAATTTCTTTTGTTCTCCTAGACTCAGCTCAGTAGTGCCTCCCTAGTGAAGTCTTCCATAGAGTTTCCCTGGCTTTCCTGTGGGATCCTTACCACTGTGTATATATCTTTGTTATTGCACTTTTCATCAGTGCTGCTCTCAGAGCCATACTGTTACCTTATATGGCAAAGAGACTTTGCATGTGTGATTAAGTTAAGGGTCTTGAAATGGGGAGGTTATCCTGTATTATTCAGGCAGGGCTTAAATGTAATCACAAGTGTCCTTATAAGATGCAGAGGGCTCTGGCTGGTGTGGCTCAGTTGGTTGGAGCATTATCCAGTAGGCTGAGAAGTTGCAGGTTTGATTCCAGGTCAGGGCATATATGAGAGGGCAGCTGACTGATGTTTCTCTCTCACTCTCTCTCCTTTCTTCTATCTCTAAAGCAATGAAAAATGTCTTTGGGTGAGGACAATAAATAAATAAGAAAGAAGGATGCAGAGGGAGACTTGACTGCAGAAAAGGGCAATGTAACCACTTAAAATAAGAATAAGCACTGCTGGCTTTAAAGATGGAGGAAGGGTTCACTGGCCAAGGAATGCAACTAAAATCTGGAGAACAAGGAAACAAATTCTCCTCCCTCTAGAGCCTCCAAAGCGGGGGTGCAGCCCTGCTGACACCTTGATTTCAGCCCAGTGAAATTATCTTCAAACTTCTCAAGATAATTGTAAGAGAATAAATGCACATTGTTTTAAGCTGCCAGGTTGTGGTTATTTGTTATAGCAGCAATAGGAAACTCATGCGCTGGGCTGTCCAAGGCCCTGCTCTGGGCCTCCTCCAGCTGTGCTCCTTCTCTTGGGTGAAGAGTCAATGCCCTCACTTCTAGACTAGGCACCAGGTACACAGAACCCTGGAATTCCTCACTCAAGAAATGCTTACTCAAGGCCTGAATACCTCTTCCCTAAGTCTGTCCTTTTTTTTTTCCCCGAAATCTTTTACCTTTACTATGTCTAAATTTTGTTTACATACAAAAATATGTGCTGGATGCACAGGTACTAAAAATGTTTTAAATACCATCTGTGAGTAAATTATTTCCATTCTGGTTTATTGGTAGCAAGGTTTGCTCTTAGTCTCACACAATCAATCAATGATATAAGAACTGTAGGACCTATGTTGTCCTTTTGAGACAGACTGCATGGCTCATGCCTGCCGTAGAAGGCTAGTGGAGTGAGCAACTAACTGTTTGTGGGGGTGAGCTGCTGCATAGACAACAGACTGCAGGGCACAAGAACTGAAGCTGGGAGACCAGAGTGAAGACAACTACAATAATTCAGGTGAGAGGTGATGATAGCGATGGAGATGGTGAGAAGTGGCTAGACTCTGGATACATTTTGAAAGTTAAGGCAAAGGGTTTTGCTGACACTTTTGATGGGAGATATGTGAGAAGAAAAGTAAGTATGATGGCAAGGTTTCTGGCCTTAACCAGAAAAATGCCATTAACTTAGATGATGAAGAAGGGAGAAAGGAGACAGGTTTTTGGGTAAAGATAAGTGGCCCAACTTTAAGTATGTTACATTTGGGATGCCCATTAGATAGCAAAGTGGGCAGGCAGTTGGACTTTGGAGTGAATCGTGCCTTTCTCAAAGACTAGCAGCATGCTTCCAGCATCTAGAATAGGGTCTTGAAGTTTGACAGGTCAAATGAATAGTGACATTCCTGCATAGAAGTGTTTCAGGATCTGTGCACAGTTTTACACTCTCTCGTTATTAGGTTGGTTAATATCAAGCCTATTGACATTACACAGCCCAGCCAACTGCGTAAGCCAGGGATATTAACAACCCGATTGTTTGGTATCTTCTTGTTCTTTGTTCTATCAAACATTTTGATTACGACCAGGGCTGATATTGAATATTAATATCAAGTGAATTGAAGTCAGATTCATGGTCTTGTGTTTTTAATCTAGTGTTAAACGTAATTTGCTGATGGTAAGAATTTTTCCCTATATTTATAAAATGTATAATAATACCAATTCTTTTTGTTTCCATCTCTGAAGTTACATTGTTTCCCACACCCACATGTTTGGAAAAATTTGCAGCCAGAGTTTTGTTATTTCAGTCTGCTTGAATGCATACCGGATACGAATAGTGCTGGAGACAGCTCTGGTGATGCCGAATAGTTTATGAAGTTTAGTTATTTAGAAAGATGCTAATTTGACAAATGAGCAATAATGCTGATCTTCCTGGCTGTAAATTTACAGATGCTATAAAACTATATGTCTATAAAATTGAATATGTTTTATAATATTTAAAAGGTCACAGCTCTGTTGAAAGATGTTGGAGACTAGATTGCTAGTGTATTTTCGCTTGTACGTTCTGCAGCCAAGCTTTTCCTCTCCTCACTATCCCAAAGTTTCCCCTGTCAAGTTCACCAAAGACATGCACATTTAAAAATCTGCAGTCATTGTTCTTCATCCTCACTTTACTTATTCTCTCAGCAGTATTTTACTCAGTTGGCTAATCCCTCCTTAAACACTTCCTCTCCTGTATTTTGGATCCTCGTGCTTTATTGGTATGAAGGTTAATTTTATGTGTCAACTTGCCTGGACCACTGGGCACCCAGACATTTGGTCAAATCTTATTCTGGGTGTATCTGTGAGGGTGCTGTGTGTATTTTTCTAAGGCTGAAGACTGGCAACTACTTGTGCTTGTGTGTGTATTTTTTCACAGGTGCTCACAGCACACGTGTCTTATTCATCTCCGTCCTATATGAAGGGGAGGAGGGGACCCATTTAACTATGACCACACCCATTGGTGGAATGGAATGTTTCAGCTCTGAGGACCTTAACACCTGGAGTTTTGAACATAAAAGTGTCTCAAACAGGGCAGCTGGGCACCTTCATTGGCCTCACGAACACACTGTATCCCTGGAATCCTGTCTTGGAAGAATTTATTTTATTTTATAATGTCATGCATTTTGCTACCTGGCAGCAACAATATACTCAGTCAATAAAAATTTTCAACATTTAAAATTCTTTCCAGACTGAAAAAAACAACTAAAAATTGTGATTTTAGGTTTCACAAGTGCACATGGGTAAGACGAAGGAATGGTTTCAGGCATCCTCTGGAGCTTGTCTACCAAAACCTACGAAGGGAGTAGATTAATCCTCACTGATAACACCAATAATCTTTTAGTGTTCTGTGAATACTGTCACATGAATATTTTACTCCCTTCCTCCCTACCATTATCTGAATTAGATATTTCAGTGACAACTTATGAAAAATATGCAAATGCATGTGATTTTTTTATCCTCATCCGAGGATATATTTCTTGGTGTCTGTGTGTGTGTGTGTGTAAGAGAGAGAGAGAGAGAGAGAGATGCCAAAGAGAAACATTGATTATTTCCCATATGCCCCACCAGGGATTTGAACCTGCAACCTAGGTATGTGCTGTGACCAGGGATCAAATCCATGATCTTTTGGGTGCACAGGATGATGCTCCAACTAACTGAGCTACCCAGCCAGGGCCATATGATTTTTTACATTAAGATTTTCACTGGAAGGAGATGATACACAGTAAACTTTTAAAGTAAATGCATTCATAATTCAACTCTCAAATAGTTCTATAGTGAGTCACATGCCCAAAATTACATTTTATGTGTTTATTTGTGTACAAAATATGTTGTAATTTACTGATGCATGTGCAGCAAAATATTCTATCACATACGACAAAAATACACCTGTTACTCCCCTCCACCTTCCCCTGCCCTTGAAAATGGCAACACTGTTTTGGCAGTTCAGCAGCTAAAAATGAAATGCTATAATTAAGCAATATTGGATGTGTTCACTTGACAAATGTGATGTACAATTTGGGTATACAACCACATCTTTGTTAGTTTTTTCACCACCAGAAAGTTCCACATCCTGAACACCTCCAGAAGATACAAATAATTTGTATATATATGTACACATGTATACACTGTATATGTAAAGTGCCATCAAAATTCTTTGTCCTTGTGAGTCTGTTGTGTGTGGTTATTTTCTATTTCTTTTTTTTTCAAAGTCAGAGTCACACTGTTGGGATCTCAGAGTTCATCAGCAGGCACCGAGAAGCTCGCCATAGGCTGGCTGGTTGGGGCTGTGGTGTTGGTGAGAGGACAGAGAGAGCCTTCAGACCTCACTGGGAGACCTGGAGCGGAAGGGCACTTTGGACTGGAAACAGCCACAGAACAGGAGCCACAGGGCACGCTGGATCTCTTGGTTGCGGAAGGCGTAGATAATAGGATTGATCATGGAGTTGTAGGTGGCCGGCAGCAGGGTGGCGTAGGTGTAGACAGCCGGGTCCTCGCGGCTGCCCACCAAGCAGTATATGGCAAAGGGCAGCCAGCTGATACCAAAAGTACCCAGCACCACAGCCAGCGTACCCACACCCTTTCTGGTGGCTGCAAGGTGGGGTGGCGCCAGGCAGTGCTGCTGCAGCGCGATCTGGTGCGCATGGCGCCAGACCACCTGGCAGATGCGCACGTACAGGTGCAACATGATGCCGAAGACCGCAAAGAAGGTCGCGGAGAGCAGCGCCACGTGGCTGCGCGTCAGAGGGTGCACCACGCTACAGGTTGTACGCTCTGCCAGGCAGTTCCAGCCTAGCACCGGCAGCAGCCCGAGGCCTAGAGAGACCGTCCAGGTGGCGGCGAGCAGAAGGTGCACACCCAACAGGGTCCGCCGTGAGTAGTAGGTGAGCGCGTTGTAGAGGGACAGGTAGCGGTCCACTGTTATAGCCAGCAGGCTGCTGACCGAGGCAGCGAAGGAGGACACAAGGAAGCCCACCGTGAGCAGGCTTACCGTCTCCGAGGGCACCACGTACTGGAACACGAAGTGCAAGATGAGTCCGCAGCCGGCCAGCAGGTCTGCGGTGGCCAAGCTGCCCACCAGCACAAACATGGGCCTGCGCAGCGCCGGGGTGGACGCGATGAGCACCACTACCAGTGCATTTTCTCCTGCAATCACTGTCCCCGACACGCACAGCAGCATGTCCCATGGATTCACCGCTGACAGTAGCAGCCCAGGCGGCCCCGCGGGCATCTGCGAAGACAGCTCCAGCGACGCATTAGCCACGCCCCCGCCTGCCAGCGCCGCGGCCGCGACAGGATGCCCCCATTCACTGGTGTCCGGCGCCCCTGCCGCTGTAGCTGCTGCCGCCGCGCTCTCTGCCGCCACTGCCACCACCTGGGACTCATTGAGGGAAGAGGCGCTCGCGTTCATCGCGGCCGGACACTGCACCCTGTGTGGAGAGGGACAGCAAGCATCAGGTGCGCGGTTCAGGCTGCCAGCGAACTTCCCGGGCTCAGATGTCCCGCTCATACTGCCCACCCCACCCCGGACCCCATAACAGGGCGAGAAAGCAGTGATTAAACGAGAGCCAAAAATGAATACCTGTTGAATGAGCGAGTGAGTGAAATGTACACGGGTGCTCCCACAGATAAGAGTTTTTGCAGAAACACACACGGACAATATCCACTCACATGCACACAGATATATCTCGTAAGGGTGACTACAGCTGCACACGCGCCTGTCTGCACCGAGCTAGGGGTGTGAGCCTGAGCGAGTCCGGCTCGGGCTCCTGCAGGCGGGGTCCGGATGTTCTCCCCAACAGGGCAGCGGAGTCGCTGTCCGCGGTGCTGAAAGCTAAGTTGCTGAGAGCGGAGACAGTGGGTTCTGGAACCCGCGGACAAACACCTCGAACCGAGGCTTGGGGCAGAAGTTGAGAAGTATGTGTAAGGGGAGGGTGTGGGGTCAAGCTTGACTCCATTTCTCCGACTTTGGGAAGGACTCACCCCCTGGCCATCCTTCACCCCTTCCCTTCTCCACACCCTCGAAGTTCCTCTCCGGGCCCGGCTGCTCACCTGGGGAGTCAGGGCTTCAGAAAGTCTTCGATCATGAGCGCTGTGGTGGGGCGCCAGGCTGCGTCCACGGTGCCGACAGAGCCGGTGCCTGCGAAGCAGCCGAGGACTGAGCAGAGAGGAGCGCTGGGCTCCAGCGGTTGTGCGGAAGCCAAGGAGAGTGAGGGACAAGTCAGCGGCAGAAAAGGCGGTTACGAGCAGCGCGCCCGCTGCAGATTGACAGGCAGGGTGCAGTGACGTCAGGCTCCTGGTTCTGCATTCGCTCTCCTCACCCGCCCAACACTACCACCCTCTTCTTTGTCTCCCCACCCCCAAACGAGGTCTCCGAGGGTTCAAAGAGGGAGGAGGAGCGGAACGGCTGCCTTTAGTCCAGAACCTCCAGGAATGGGATGGAGGAAAGAGAAGAAATGGGAGAAAGGAGTAAAGAAGACTCTGAGGCCAGGAGAGGAGGGTGAGCTGGGAGGAAAGGGGTGGAGGATGAGTAGCACTGGCCAGGTAGCAAAGCCCGGGGTCAAAGGTCACCGAGGGGCCAAGTCCAATAAGAAGCCCTGGAGAAGGGGGAGGTTGGGGCTGGGGCATCTGAAGGCAGAGTTGCTATCTTGAAAAAAATTCTGCTTTGGGGACAGGAATGAATTGGGAGTGGGGGTGGAGGGTGAGCTTTTTAAAAAAAAGGATGTTTGCAAAAGAGTGTGCTGTGTAGAGTCAGAGAAGATATGCAGAGTTGTGGAGAACAGAGAGAAGGTAAAACGTTTGAGGAAAACCACCTCTTCTTTTGAAGGTTACCTGTGCAGTTCCTCTTTTTCTCCCTCCATTTCTTCCCCTCTCTCCCACTGTCTCTTGAACTCTACACAGCAGATTTCACCATGATCTTCCCAGACCAATGTTCCCTAATTTTGGTAGCTGATATAGTGTGCTCTTGGAACTTGCTCTTTAATTAAAGACCAGGTCTGTGTCTTGTTAGAAAATAAGAAAACAGCAAAATGTGATTTACCTTCTTGGCAACAGGATTTGCCCTGTTAATTAGTACCTATAAAACAAATTGCAGGATGAAAATAGTGATAACTCAGCTGCACCAGACTTCAGTAGCAAGGGTTTTATTTTCAGATCAGATAAGTCATCCTTTTTGGTTTAAGGTGTTTTGTTAGTAAAATACAAACATTAGACTTATTTTTTTTCATCATTCGGAATCTTCAATAGCTGTACTTGGGCAAAAGCTAAAATAGTTGGTTCCATCTAAAGCTCTAAAATAGATGGTCACACATGGGCATGAGGGCATTATACTGGGTCACAGCCATCATTTTCAGGGGCCACACATTCTGGGCAAAGTGAAAATAGACAACATTTGTTATTGGTTCTTCCTCCATGTCTTCCTGAATCTCCTCTCCTTCTTCCTGGCTTCACTTTGCCTCTAGCCCCAGGGGTCCCCAAAGGAAAAAAAACATGTACTCAGACTGTCTACAGGCTAGGGTGGGAGGTCAAATTTTACCCTGGCCTGCTCCCTCTACACATGGCCCCCAACTCCGGACTAGTCCTGCCCTCCTACTTCAATGCAGCTGAACTTAACTAGAGGAAAGAAGGAAAACAGTAGAACCATTCAATTCTTTGCTGCAATAGCCAGTGTTGGACCATAAATCAAGTTTACATACAATATCTCCATTTGGAGAATTTATAAAATTCTCACAGCACTATTTTCATGAACTCCCAGATTGGCTGAAGTCCTAAGTTTCTGAAAAGAGCCACTTGAATGTCAGTGAAAAATCATTATTTAAAAGCCAAGAATGTTATTTCAGAGCTCTCAGTGAACTGTCAAACCATCATAATAACATGTTAATTGCCAATTTTCCAAGTGATCAAATAAAGGCCCAAGGGGAGGAGAATCCTACTTAATGTCTAAATGTGTTACACTTTCACATGCCACAATGCCACAGAAAGTGTGGAATGAAAACTGAACAGAGTTCCTTTGTCTTGGGTGTTCTTAGGCTTTTACCATTGCCAAGATGCACTTGCCAGTAGTTTCAGGAAGACAACACATGTAGTATCATGTTGGTTGAGGGTTTTTAGACTGTCTTTGCATCATGCCAGTCTGTGATTACCTCTCTCAGAGGCTGGACTGGATCCTGAGAACAGACAGGCACATATTTTTCAAACTCTACCTCATCTCCCCCATGCCTACCCATCCCTGGGAGGCAGAAGATGGGAAAGAAGAAAAATGTGTGCTTCATTGGTTATGGATGGGTAGCATTAGATTAACTTCATTGCCTGCTCTGCCCACAGAAGTATCCTCAAAAGTATCTATCCTTCCAGTGGCCTCCTAGGATGTTTTACTATGGTTCCACCTGTAAACCATTTTTTACCCCAAGCCTAGAATTTGAGAGCAAATTGACACCTAACCCAAGGCTAGACAAGACCAGCCATCCTTTGCTGATGACCAAATTCCTCTTCCTAAAAGTTTGAACTAAAGGACATTGTGACATTGGTCAGTCAGTGTTGGGCTCTGGACCTGCAAGATTATGATGAATTAGGTCTAGAACATCCATGTTCAGCCTTGTGTGAAATCAGAGTAATCAGAGGAAGCCAGCTGTGATGAAAGAATGAAGCGGATGTGGAGAGATGAAGAGAGATGAAGGAGATCAAATGACTGAGAGGTAGAGGGAATGACCTCCGTACCTGAGTGTCTGGTTCCTGGCTCTGGAAGTCCAGATCCTTGGATGCCTTGAAATTGCTATTTGTGCTTCTACTATAAGCCTCCATAGTCTTGAACCACCTTGAGTGCATTTCTATTCTGTGAATACTTGATACTTGACTGAAAAACACAAGTAAATGTATTATTCACCAACCAGCTTATCTGGTCCTGGTTATGTTTTGGGGTATATGAAGTTTGGTTTCTGACTTGTAATCACAGGTTAAACTCTCTAACACACCAACATATCATCTGGTACTTTTATATTCCAGCACTATCCAAGCATGAACACAAGAAAACTTTCCTTGTCTGAGGTTGTGCCCAGGATCAAACCCTCTTGACCACAGCTCTTTCTCTGATTCCTGTGTGTACCTCTTGCCCATCTCAGCCTAAGCCATTAGTTCCCAACCTTGGCTGCACATCACAATCAGCTGGAAAGCTTTTAAAAACTACCCAGTCCTAGATCACTCACCCAGAGATTCTCATTCATCTGGTCTGGAATGGGGACCTGGAATCAGTTTTTCTAAAGGCTCTACTGAAAAGCCAGGGTTGAGAACACTTGTTTAATCAATCACACAATCTCTCTATCAGCTTACCATGTAAAGTAACCCCCAAAATAGTGAGTTGGAATTTAGAATAGTTGCAACATGGGTATTTTGGCAACAGTCCAAATTCAAGTCACTTAGTGTAATTTCAGAGTTAAGGTGCTAACTTGATGTCCTCTGAAGACCTTTTGTTTTTCACACTCATGCAGATCCACCTACATGTCACAAGATGAAGGCTGGCCCTTAGCCTTGACTAACTCCCCTAAGGAGTTCTAAATTCTGGTTGCCCTCAACCTTCTGTTTTGCTGGAGATCTCAGGATACCTCTGCATCTTTTCCCTTTCTTGTCTGAGTCCACAGCCACTTCCCAGTTGTGCCCTCTCCTGGCCCAGATCTTTGCAAATCAATTCTGGTTTGCAAAATCAGAGCTGCAGTCAGCCAAGCTGTCTAGACTTTGTAAAACTAGGTTGGAAAGACCCACACTAGCAATTCTGGCCTCTCTCTGAGGAGCCCCGTGCACACACACATACTCCTTCAACTTAGTTCTTCAAGACAAGCAGCTCATTCTCCTACTGGGAAGTAAAAGTCTATTTGGTGGCACACAGACACTTTCGCTGAGAGCTTAGGAAGAGGGCAGGTGCTTAGTGAGATGTATGAAGCTGTTATTTAAAAAGATTGTGGCTGAAAGAAGCAGGAATCACAAAAGGCCATTGAATTCTCTGCATTGTTTGTCCAGATCTGGGGTGCTAGAGGGAGTGAAATCTTTTGGAACACCTGCTTAGACAGATGAATTATACTCAAAATATCTTTTTCCTGCTTCTGACTATCCCCAGGGTCTCTTCTTACCCTCAGGCATTGATGGAGTATCACAAGGTTCAAGGCACCTGTGTCCTCTGTGTGTCCAAACACATCAGGGATGTTCCTGCTTCATGCCAGGTGAGCTGTCTTCACTCCAAATCTCTGTTATCCTGGAAGGTTAGTATGACTTGATGTGTCCACCAAATTTAGAAAAGTGAACCCACCATTGTTACCATTACATGTCTGCCAGATGTGGAACTCCGTGCAGGGCAGTTGACATTTTTTTTCTAACTGAACAATTTTGGAGGGGGGGTGGTGAGAAACAAATTAGGATGATAATAGC